GAATAAAAACTGAAGTCCGTTTCGCAACTTCATATATTTCCACAATGCTGGCGGCTAGTTTGCAATATTTCCTTTGTGTCGGCCAACGACAGAATGTAATAACTTGTCACACGGCTTCACAGTCGGGCGAAGAGACGAAAGAGCTTGTTTGTGACGGCAGAAAATAGTGAACCGTGCTTTGATTTGAGATGAAAATAAGCCTTACATTTGCGCATCTGTTAACCCATTTCAAATATAGATTTACTCAGCCCTTGTTTATGCATCAAGTACTTTGATTTTGTATTATAGAGTCTCTCGTAAATAGCCTGACAAGCAATAACTGCCTGGAAGGGATTATTAAAAGAAGCAGTTGATTGACAGTTTATATTCAAGGAGATATTACTAAAGATTAACTTTTAAATTGCAAAATAATTCAAGGTGACGTCACTAGATTGTAGTAATCTGTAGACTTTTAAGTTTTTTTTTTACTACGAAATATTGGAAAGAAACAATAAGAAAGGAGCAAAAAGATTTTTTCTCAATTAACTTCTAGAAATCATTATCATGACATTGTGATTAGATTTGATAAGTGATAATGATAGTTCATTAATGACATTTTTTGGCTGAATATGTTTTTTTTTTTTTTAAATTTGTAATTTCTTTTCACGTTTTTGAGGTGCTTTAAAAAATAAAAAATGCTTTTCAATCTCTCAAACTTTTCGGAAAATACGATTTTCTTTTGAAATAAATTAGAAATTTTTTAAATCAGGATATTTGGAATGAATTAAGCGGCTGATATAAAATGTTTTGCAGAATTTGGCTATTATCAACAAAAATTTAAATATGAAGATGCAAAATTTTAATTTTCACTCCGAAATAGCTCTAAACTTAATTGTATGTATGTGTTTATTGAACGCCAATGGCGTGCGACAGGTTACATAAAATAAATACAGCATAATATAATAAACATTAAGAAGGCAAAAACGTCATTTTTTCCATTTAACTTTTGAAGCTTCAATAAGAGACATATCATTTTTTGCGCATTTGAGGAAGTGATAAGTGTCCATCTGCTGGTTACACTTTTTGCACACGCAATTTTCTTGAGCACTCGCGTGGTAATTTTTAGTCCGGCACAACACATAGTGAAAACCGTGACATGCATATCGGGTGAAAACGTGTCGATTTTCAAAGCAAGCTGTTTTCCAGTTTTGGTCGATCATTGCTGGAGTGTCAAAGAATTTTAAGTTTATTTCGGCTATTTTAAAGGATTGATTAGTGAAAAATTTGTCATAACTTTCGGTTTCGGGGAGACAATATTTCTCTCGCAGATCCTCGATGAAAGAACTTGTGTCTAAACTTAATTAAAATTATAAAGATTTTATTTTCATTTCCGTTTTTCGTATGTCTTTAATACATTTGATTTATTTATTTACAATTAGAATTATTTATATTTTTTCCCACCATTGATTTGTATTTTGAAATTAACTTCCTTGAACTCTATGATAAAAATTCAATCGCAAAACATGAAAGCTGTTTAAAAAATATATTGTTCTCTTTACCCAGATGATTAATATTTCCAAGAAGTGAATCAACTCTAAATTGAAACTCAGTAAGTGGCGCTTTTGCACTCAAACGGAGGCTGAGGCAGCTGTTCCACTTTTTAAACGATTTATTTCTCGTTGGAGTTGGAAAAAAATTGACACAGTCAGCGTTAATTTTCAATCGACAGAGCGGAATTAGCGGCCGAAGCGAGGTGGGTTTTAGCGGCGAACCAGTGAGCGAGCGAGTGCATCGGAATTGTTCCAGTCCGAAATTGGAGCGCGCTCCATTGAGCAAAATGGATTGCTCTGCAGTTTTGCGCCAGAGCGCTGATGCCAACTTTGCCCAGAGATAATTTTTTTTATTTTAATCAAATCCAACCCGTGACCTCGTGTGCACTCGTGCTGTTTGCAGATCCATTTGGAATTGCAGAGGGAAATAAATGCGTCTTTTTTTTGCCGATCTGTAAATAAACACACGCCTAATGCGCTTCGATTTGCAATTTTCTGTCATTCGCATGGCTGGCCCCGGGATACAAGTAGCACTAGTACTGCTTGTTTTCTGGTTGCAATAAATGCCAATAAAGTCACCGGTCAGCAACTCGGTCGGAACAATCGATTCGTTCTGCTGGCACATTTGACGTCATTACAATCGCACTTTTTGCACGCGACACAAAATTGGCTTTTAATGACCATAACGCCGGGCATTATCTATTCGCGTATCGCGGCAAACAGCAGCACGCTTACTTATGATTAAAAGCAAAAATCTAAAAACATTTCAGTTTATTAACAGCCTGAAAAACTAATTGAAAAAATATAAATTAAAAAAATAAAACTATTATATTGCTGAACATTGTGTGTTTTTAATTAATTTTCGTTATTAATTTTTAATTTCAGGCATTACAGCTCATAGGTTAATTACAGCAAAATATAAATGTAGTTAATAACATGCTCTAAAACTAAACAACATAATTCGATCCACAATGTTTGTTCAACACCAAAAAGGAAATGTGACACTATAATTTTGATAGTTTGGAGTTTAGAATTTCACAAAGCTAACGTTTCGAAGAATTAATTAGTTCATGCGGAAAACCCACAATTGATGGTAATTATTTTGCTAAAACAGTCGAATTAAAAAAAAAGAAATTCTTCTACTTCTGCGCAGCTAGCTTTTGTTGTCTTTTTTTGTTAAGATCAAAATAATTTTAAAAAGAATATAATAAATTAAATTTTTCTGCGCAATTATGTAACAAGAAATATTGCAATATTTTAATTTTGGAATATCAAGAAAAGTAGTGTTTCATATTTCTTGCTGGCTATAGATTTTGTGATCAGTGATCCTTTAATAAAATGAAATCTCATTAAGTATCCGTTTTCGCCAAGTACAGCAAAAACAATGGACGTTCCTAACGTGCTCTGCTGAACTTATCTCTCGCAAAGTACATAAATCTTTCCAATCCAGCAGTCGTGTTCCTTCCGTGCACATGACTGCACATCTTGCATTTTAATAAAGTCCTAATGGCAACAAATCTGCTCCACAAAGCGTCCGTGCCACATGATTGATGACCTCCAAGAGCAGCGATTCTGTTAATTACACGCGACGACCAATGTAGGCCAGCAGCTGCACTTTGACTGCTCCAGAGTAAATGATCGCTTTTAAATCATGCCCGCGCCAGTGCATTTATTGGTTTGCTGCGCGCGAGATGTGAATCGCCGATATCTCCGCGAGACAATAGGAGAAGCAGACGGATCGGCATTTAATAAGCCACTTCTTTCCATTATTGCACTCTCTGGCGTCGTTTCATCATGCACAATGATTTATGCCCCATCGGGCAATAAACAAAAGCCGCGGGGAGATAAAACATTGAAAAATAGCCTTCTTCTCTTTCCTCTCCTCGCACTTTGTTTGTCTGTCTGCGTGCATGTTTGCTTTTTATCGCGGGCCAGAATAAATCTTTCTGCGATTTTTTTCCGCACTCAACTTCGTCCGTCTGTTGGGGCCGAAAGAGTTTTGATCAGCCACTTTTCCCTCTCTCGTGAATTTGCGAAAATACCGTTTATGGTGGCAACGAACACTTATCTCTTTATTTTTTTATTTTCGTTATTTCTCTGACAAGATCGATACTCGTCGTCGAGTAAAAACAATTCGCTGGAAAGGATTCGACGCGATTTAATTGATTAGACCCATTAGCCGGAGCACAAGTTTTAACGCGCTTTCTTAAAGGAGTTGTCTTTTTCTTTCACTCTCTTTAATTTCGATAAAGACTCGTCGGAGAGCGAGAAGAATGAGAGGGATCAGTCTGCAGCAGAATCTATCATCTGAAGGAAAATAGGGTGGAGAAGCGAACTGCTGCTTGGACATGAAAATGGGAACGGAGATCAGTTTAGGAGGGAGGCTGTCAAGCGCCGGCAAGATTTGTAATTTGCGAAGTTACTCAGAAAGAAAAGTTTGTTCCTCCTTTTTGTTTTAAAGAACTCGCGGCTGGTTTTGAGTAAAGGAACATCTCTCTTTGTAAAAAATACATACATATTGTAAAATATAATAAGGGCCTGAAGAATCAGGAAACCAAAATTCCATAGTTCAATTATTATTTTCTTAGAATTCGTAAAAGAGAGTATTAAAAAATTGAAAGCGAACGCAAGGTGGAATTTATAAAAAATTGAATATAGTTTCGTGTTGCAAAGAGAAAAATGAAGAAACATAATGCCAATTTACCCCAAAAAGAGACACATGGTCTGCTGGAACTTAAATAAACCTGGTTTCTTGAATCCAACTAAAATTAGTTGCAAAATTGTGTTTCTTGATCTATCACAAAAATCAAGAGGAAGAATTTATAAGAAATTAAAAAAAATATGACTTTTTAATTTATAAAAAAAAATTGCTTTTTAGGTTCAGTTTCCTCTTTATTTTTCACTTAATCCCGGTATCAATTTTTTATAACAAAATCCTCATCAATGTAAATTTAGCTGAAGATAATATAGTGATTTTTTTCTCTTTGTCATGAGCACCTTGTCAGGAATTCATAACGAATTTATAAAGCATAAAACATGATCTACAACTTTGAAAACAATTTGCTTTCGAACTATAAAAAGTCTCGTTTAAGCACAAACTTTGGCAAGCACGTGAACATATGTACTCGCTCGCATATGTGTTGCCACCCCCTTTTGTGAATAAATTCACGGCAGAGTCGTGCTGTTTGCAGATGCCGCATGTTTTGCTTGTTTCTGGGACACCCAACAACACACGGCGCGGCGCAATTCGTGTGCGCCAAAAGTTTTAAACCGCATTAATTATGCAAAGTTTCACTTTTTCCCGCTGCCATGTATATGAAAGTTGCTGGTAATGGCGCGGCAACGGTTCATTTGCCGCGCCACCATTACTCATGCAAGACGCACACGTTTTGTGTACTTTCGCAGGGCGACAACCCTTTTCCTTTCTGACCGAGTTGACCAAGTTTAAAGAATGTAATTTTCCGTTTGCAGGGCGAGGAACACACAATGGCGGCTGCCGGAACAACAGGGAACACCACGCCTCATCAAGCCTCGCCAGTGCCACAGAAATGACGTGTCTAACTACATCAGCGAGTAGCCCTGTAATCTTCGTAGCATGCGGCTTGGCGAGTCTGCTGCTTCTGTTGCCCAGCGCCACAGAAGGCATTGTCAAGCCACCGCCGCCTCCTTCGCATAACAGTGGTGAGTGCAAACTAACAACTCAAACTAACAATAAGCGTAGCAAATACAAATGCTTTGTCGAGAGAGACCTTAAGCTTCCCACCTGCAGCAATTTAGGTGGAAATGCGAGCCCTGTTTTGCGGCATTTATTATCTAAAACGCTAATGGATTAGGAGGGATTTAAGCGTCATTAGCAAATTAGGAGTCCTCACCAACATAAATACCAAAATCTGTTTCAATATTTGAGATTACATGCAACAATAATGGCTTTAAAATATCTACAATTTATATTATTTTTTCAAAAGAGACCAATTTTTTAAATTTTTCCCTATGAAATGTGTGGCAAAAAATTCACTCTCAAAGGTTTTATATTAAATAATTATTAAATCCTTAGAAACTAAATTGGAAATATGCAAATTTATTTCTATGTTTAATTTAATTCAGGAAAATAAAAAGCCCGTGGAATTTTCTTAAAGGTCATTGATGTTTAATTTAGAATTAATTATTGCTCAGATTGTATTAAAATGATCAATTAGCATCAAATTAATTTTGAACTTTTTGTGGTAGAATTTCACGATGGAGGGTTGATTCATGGTGATTTGAATTTATTTGATATTCACCAAAGTTTCTTCTCTGAAAGCTATAATCGGAGCAGCAGATCTCCAATTCTTAAGAGGATGCCCATCGTAAAACATTTAGTGGCATAACATTTAATTCATTCATCACATTTATCATTTTGTATCTCAATTAATCAAATTGTTTTAAAATGAAGTTATTTAATTTATATAATTGTTATCATTTTTCAGCAAATGCTTTTTTGTCTTTGTTTTAGTATCTTGACTAATTTTATTTCAAAAGTTTAAATTTGCATACAAACTCAATTAAGTTTAAAACCGAAAACAGCTTTTGTTTGCCCTTAACTGCCAGAAGGAAAACAACTTCCATGTGTGTACGTAGGTAGACTAGACTAGAATCCACAATCCCTCTGGGAGTTCACGCTCAGTTTCCTTGCTGAGAAAACAGTTAATTAGTTAACAATCACTTTCGGTGCCTAAGTTTTCGCCTGAAGCCTCGTGTGTTACGCAAACTACCAAATTAGCCTTGGTGGCAAAACGGGCCTTTGGGGAAGGGGGGACGATTAACAACCAACGATTTTCCAACGCGGAAGGGACAAAACGCTGAAGAAAAGACGAAGTTTTTTGTGTCGTGAACTATTTACTAATTGAAATTCCGGTGCGCAATAAGGAACTTGGAAGGACTTTGAAATTAAAGTAATCCAGGCGGGTGCGATTAAACTTTTTGCTGTCAACCGAGAAGCTTGCGGAGTTGAAAAGACAAGTTCACGTACGGAATGAAAAAAACACCTTCTCCGGTCTGGCAAGTTGTTATTTTTTTGCTCTACTGCAGTAGAGATTAAACACACATGCACATACACCGAGCTCGAGATGCTCATTATTTTTAAATTGAATTCTGAGCACTCTGGATTTTTTTCTCATTTGAGCAGCTCGATGCAGAGAGTACTTGGGAAGTTTGTTGTGCGGCGCATTAGAGACGCCCGCCGTATATACGAGAAGGCGGTGGAAAGATAACAAAGTAAAAGCTGCCGTTCTGGTGCACCACTTCATAATGGCCGTGTTTACTTCTCATCAAGGCTGTCCATTAAACGATAAAATCACCGCCCCTGCTAAGCTCTTGTAATAAAACGGGCCGAGGTGCTGCAGGGTTTTCCACTCTCAAACTGTAGCTCTCGAAAAGGTATCGCTCCATCGATTTATTTCTGGTTCAGCCAACATTGCGATTTGATATACTCTAACCCAGCTCAAATTAATTAGAAACTCCGACTTATAATTGAGTTTCAACCAACAATGGGTAAATAATTTCCTCTACCTGTGTGGGAGCAAATTAATTGACATTTCATTTTTTTTTTGTGCAAAGTGGAAAACTCTATATCGCTCGGCAGGAGGTACAAATATAATGCCGACAGTGCCAATTTCGTTTTGGAAATGTTTGAAGAACCGAAGACTGGCATTAATTGCTGTCGAGGTGATTGCTTTCCCTCCCGATGAGTTGGCCTGCCTTTCACCCTCAAGGCGCCTCACATATACGAGCGCTGAATTTGAATTAAGGCGAGGGCGCAGAAGCCGGGTAATTTTCACTTTCGCCAACGCACCTTCGGATAAAAGTGCGTCACACGCGAAAAATGTAATGAGCTGACAATTCGCGTCTCTCTTCAGCCACTCTCGCTTTTTGCCGACGCACTGTTGACAGCAAACACAATGGAGAGCAAAATGATAATGTGATGACTGGAGCGATAAAATGGCCTAATTATTTGAAATTAAAATTTTAGTTAGTCCTTTGTTGATGTTTTTCATAATGGGAGTGGAGTAAATTTAATTTACAACAAAATATGTAAATCATTAATTTTAATTCACTGATTTACTACTAATTTTGCTGAATTATCAATGCTATTTTGGGATAAAAAATATTTGATTAATTATCAAAATTTAATTGTTTTATTCATTCAATTTTCTGCTTTTCAAACATTTGCTTTAATTTTTTCCTTTAAAGAGATTTAAACTATTTTTAATGTAATATTTTGCTTCTAAAACTTAACAAAAAAGCCAGTGTTTGACAATAAATTCATTACCAGCGACGTTAATGACATTTCAAACGTTTTTACATCAAAAGAACATGGCTTGGCTGTAACAATTATTCATGGCAGGCTTAAATTTTCCACAGTTTCCTTGCCACAGCCGAGATCGCAGTCATTAACGGTGCTTGGTTTTGCACACCGCGCTCTTTGTTCGCCCCTTCGCGAACGTGTGTGCAGTGCCTGTGAGTTGCTGTTGTTCTTTGTGTTTATTTGACTTTGCGCGGTGAACAATTAAGCTAAAAAAGCATAATTTAAGCCGCCACACACATAGCACGAGGCCGGGTTGCCGCGACCTATTGTATCGTTGAAATAATGATGTCGCGGCGCTTTTGTATTTTTATTACCGTAGCCTCACTCTCCCTTCTTTTCGCGCACTTTGCAAACAAGAAGGCGGAAGCTTGTTAAAATTTCCGTTGCAGTCCGCCCCCCCCACCCCCCACCCCCTTCTGCTCTTTCATTCCCTCTTTGATATTACGCGTCGCTGGCGCGTATAATAATCACCGAGATCACAATACACAAGGCAGCGAAATTTAAAAGTAGGCAACCAGTTGCGCCGGCGTGTCGATCCGGTTGCATAAGTGAGTCTTTTGCAGCCCCTCGCCCAATCAGGCCGCTCGCACGGACCGTCTCTTCGCAGCAATTTCCTCCCGAATAATAAAACAAAGGGACCCTGGTAAGGAGCTCGCTTTCCTCTTTATTGGATTTGTACTGCTATCGCGGCCGGCTATCAAATTCCAAATGCATGCCCAGCTTTGTTTCTCCACTCGCCTGACATATATAAATTATCATAATTCTGGGACATTGGAAAAGCAATCTATTACGACGGGTGACAGCCAGCAACTCGAATTATTCTTATCTTGCAGCCGAAAACTGCAGAGCGGGATGACACTGGTGCGTGTCGAAATGATATATTATGCATTCAGCCATTCAGCCAGTGCTGCTGCAAATTAAACCACCATCACTCACACTGGGGGAAACATGGAAAATCTTTAATTTTTGACGTTAGCGCATAAAACCCCGCCATTTTGAAAATGACTGAATGGATTATTCAACAATTTACTAAAAAGCAGTGGATTCAAAACAATTCAAGTCACTTTCTTAAGATAATTTAATCCAATACTAATTGAAACACAAACTAATAATAAATAAATTAATCTAAATTTTATTTGGCAAGGAAACTTAATTGATTTAAAAATATTCTAGACAATTTAATTTTCCTAAATTTTGAATTTATAACCATAATTGCTTCATATTTGCAACATAAAATGAGAGCAATGAGCAATGAATTAAAACACCAGAAATAATGGATAATTTATTTATGAAGTGTTCACCTTAATGAGGCCCATTGAACAACGCTGAAATTTTGAAGGGAAATAAATGAAACAGAAGTAACCAGGCGATTAGAAATTACGTCGCTTGAACGATTCGATTTTGCGCAAGACACAATTTACTTGACAGGCGACGGCAGCCAAGAAATCTTGAACAAGTCCAATTAGGCGGCCCGCTGTGAGCAATTTTCGCACTCGACGAACGGCGAATTTGGCATGATTGTGCCTCGGCTGCGGATCTATTCAGAGCCGCCCCGACCATTTATTTATGAAAATTTCATCGCCAAATCCTCGGAGGTGCTTTACGACTCGCGCGTTTTGCACCTGTGTGCGAGAGAAGCATTTAAAAGATTAAAACGTTGGAGCCGGGGGCGAATTTGCTCCTGCCATAAACAACCCTCGCTCCGGCAAAAATTCGTAATTGCCGCTGCGGCGTTTGCTGTGTGTGTTTATTTTTCACTCGGTGCATAGCACGTCAAATGCATTTCAAGCCACGCATCCGCTATAAATACAAATTAAGCGCGTGACACCGTGAAATATGTGGCGCAGACACGGAATGACCCAAAGCCAAATAAGGCGGTTGTACAGCATAGCACGCTCTCTGAATTCGAGCAAGGGTTTTTTGAAATCTCTGTGTTGAGAATGAGTTATATTTTAATTAATCTTGCTAAAAAGCTCCATAATCTTCTCAAGGTTCTAATGGATTTAAGTAATATGATTGTAAAATAATAATAATAATAATGAATGAATGAATGAAAATAATGATTGTAAAAATGATTAATTTGCATTTTTTCAAATTTAATTTTCTCAAAGAAATCAGCACGGAGTTAAAAAGCTTCCGTAAAAACTAAATATTGTCAAATTATGTTCATATTATGTAAAGCTAGAACAAATAACAAAAGTTTAAAAATATAATTATTGTTTAATTATTTAAAGTTTTATTCAAAGTAAAAACATCAAAAATAATTTTATATCAAATGTCAAACGTTGTGCTCAGAGATAAATTTTAGAGATTAATTGATTATTTAATTTCAAACTCT